CCGCGTCACCTCCCACATCTTATTTCCACCATGTCTCCAGACGTGCCACCACCTTCCAGCTCACAACCATCAATCTCTGCAGAGCTAGAGGCGGGAATAATCCAAGCAGAGAAGAGGGTGGCAAAGGTTGGGGGGCGCGTGTTCAGCAAAGGCAGGATGGCGGCGCCAGGAGGCAAGACCGGAGGTAACGTCAGGTTACATGCTCGTACGACAGCTGATAACCGTGTTTTAAGGTGAGGGGGAGGCAGAAGGACAGGCTGATAAGTAAACAACGCGTCGATCATTGCAAGATGCTGACGGCGAGGTGCACAGGGCTCGAGGAAAAGCTCGAGGAAAAGGAAGGCCTCATCGCCGGCAGTGACGAAGACGAAGACGAAGAAGAAAAAGACCCAAAAGGCGGCCCAGTCCTCGTCTACAGCCATGGAGCCGGCCAGTGAAGAGGAAGAAGGGGATTGGGGGGAAATTGACTCGGAAGAGTTGGCATTATTAGGGGAGTATGACATGTCGCAGCACCACTAGAACAGGGAAAAATGACGAAAAATTGCATTATACGGCCATTCATTTACTTTACAAGTGTGGATCACACGTTCAGATGCGCCCTTCTGTAAAAGACCCATCATGTTTATAAATAATATGTACGGGGTTCATTCTCAAAAGGGTAATATGCCAGTGGTTCCTTGATCGAGGAACCAAAGAACTTTGCCGACGTCGTGGGAAATCCATAAGCTTAATGCTGATCATCAGGTGATCAGCAACAACCATGTCAATCCCTCAACGGAATTTTGAACAACTCACTGCTACGGTCCAAAACGTGCTTGAAGGGTTCCAATTCCCATTGGAATTTCAAGGTCATGCCCAATCGTTCCACCAATGGGAAACCTTGGTCCAGCCATATGCTCTCCAGTACACATTGGCACGCTCTGGGGAAGTCCGTTTTGAGAAATCGACGGTACCACGTATCTTCCCCTGCATCTTGTCGTCTCTTTTCATGGTTCGTCTTCATCGGATGTTGAACAAGGAGGATGTGGATCTTTCAGAACCGATTGCTGTTGCGCCCCTAGACAAGACGAGGCGATGTATCGATTATTGGCTTGGACATATTTCGGATCGGTTGGTTGCATTACGATCACAGCAGCATGATTTCCTCGAACTTCGAGACACTTCTCCCTTGGATGATGGGCAACATCTCACGTCTGAACGTCTTCTTCGATTTGCTTCTCGTCTGAGTGCCACATCAGAACAACATCGGCTACTCAGTAATATATATTTTTGCGCTGCTGTTGTGAAGGGGATGCGGGAGTCTGGAGGAATAAGCTATCTCGTGAGTGTGATATAACATCTTGCATCCCTAATTAATGACATTGTAGAATAACCATTCTTGGGGTGCTAATCAAAAGTGATTGTTGTTTCTTATCAGCTATGGGTTGTACTGATTTTTTTCAGATTCTCTTATGTTGCCCCTATGGGTATGGCGATTCTTATATCGCCCTTGGTCTTGCTTCTCGACAAGAACCTCGCGAAACCTTCAACGCTGCCTACGACAAACACTTTGCTATCGTATGCCGTCCTGCGTGGAGGATTTTTCCGGTCGAGTGGTCCTGAAAGGGTGCTTGAAAATGCACTCATTCGTCTCGTAATCTCTGTGTCTCAAACAGGAGAGATCGGCCCACAAGACTGCCACATGTTCAATGCTGCATGGACTGCTGTTTTGCCATGCATACCCGAGACCATCGATCGTGACCCTATCCCTCCTCTCGACGATACCGATGACGAGGAAACGGAAGGGGAAGCTCCCCGCTCTGTCGTGCATCGACAATCGCGTTCAACTCCTCGTCGACAGTCTCCACCCACTTCCTCTGCCGCCAGTACATCTACAAGCCGTCCGCTCCAACGGTCCTCACGTCCATCAGTTCCCTCTTCCACTAGGTCCACGGCTCGCCCATCCCTTTATCCACCCGACGTCGCACAACAGCTCCGAGTATTAGAACGCGCTATCAGGACTCTCGTGGTGAGGATGCCGAGTTCCACATCCCCGATCTCCAAGATATACAAAGTTGGCCTGGACTGGACATCCCCGACGTCCCTTCGTACCCCCTTCCCCCAACCCGCGCACAAAAGGTATGCACCACTTGATCCTCGGTATTTTTCTCATGCAGTAATCTAGATACTGAGCGAATTCGAACTCCCTTGCGTCTTGGAGACGTGTTGCTGGACTCGGGAGAGGTTTTCCTTCCCGCATCGTCTCAACCTGGTGTGTATTCGTAACTTGGGTGTCCATCATTGACTCACGGCCGGTCAGGAACCTATCAGGAAGCTGCGGCGTTTACTAGAATGCAGTGCTCTGGACGCGATGTGGCACCCGAAAACTCTGCTGCAGACTGAGGCCTTGGCCATGTCTGCAGCGGCTTTCCAGAGGTTGGTCAATGATCAAGGGATGGTCTTGGTTGTTGGCAAGCCTGAAGAACGCGTACTGGACCATGGTGACCTTCTCGCTCTCACCGGTGAGAAGGGTCATGTTGCATGCTTTGGTACGTCTTTATATTTCAGATAGACCATCGTTGATGTCCCTTTAGATTCAGACGGTGTTCGACTGGGCGAGGACGACAAACTAACGTTAGAGCGATTCGACAGCGTAGTGCAGGAAGTCTTCGATTGGCGGACGTCTAGGCCGCTAGTCGTCCATCAGCTCAGGGGGGCTGGCCGTCTCGCTGTGGACGGGTATGTTTTCTCGTTTCTCTTGCGGTCGTTCTTATATTCTCTATAGGCTTCTTGACACTCTTGAGAGTGTTATGATCTCCGAGGGTAAGGGATGCCCTGGGGATTACAGCTCTTGGAGGATCCCGATGCTGGCAGCCACAGGTTCGTATTCGTCGCCTCATCAGGATTCCAATGGGGTCGGCACAGCACTCCAATGCGACGTCAGTCACAAACTCGTCTTTGTCTCGCTCGATTCACTTGACCCGTCGCACCCGTTGATCGTCAAGTTTGACGATGTCACTTTCGAAGGGGCTCTCGGGTACGAATATCTCTTTTATCCGCCTCATCGATATGGATACTTTGTCCTCTCTCCGGGGCAAACTCTGTAGGTCGCATTTCTTGTTCATGTTCAATCTATTGATTATTTATAGCGTCATGGCACCAGGCCAGGTGCATTTTGTATTTACACTTTCAAAGTTGGACGCATCCAATGAGCTGAGTTTTGGGACACTGATGCGGGCATCGTCCTTTCTTTCCCCTCATTGCATGACCCGTTCCTTTTATTCTGGTTGGGTCGATCGCCAATTGCAGCAGGAGGATCGATCGGATACGATGTCTGCAATACTTGAAGCGTTTGTCCGGGACTCGCAACGCCGCATTCTTATGCGTCTTCCTTTGGTGGGCGATCCTCAGCCGACTGATGTATTCGCTGCTATGTTCATGGCTATGATGTTTTCCAAGAGTGAAGACACTTGCCAAGCTGCGCAGGCTGTTGTTCTTCATTTTTCGAAACAGTATCCTCAAGCCTTTGAGCAATTCCGGGAAGGATTCCAGAGGGTTCAGGCTGCCAACGCTGATGGATGTCAGGATATGGCCCGTCAAAAGATGATGCAGGCGGTCGAGGCTATGGGTCCCTTATGAAATGTCAGAGTTCCATACGAAGAGTTGCACGTAAACCTCAAGATTCTCGTGTACAATATCCACAACTGCCATATTTGGAAATTGTCGGAACCGGGTGTTAAAAGTCGCCCGGAGCGGAGAAACATGTGACTTGGAATTGTATTTAAAGGAGTTGTCCGACTCGGGTAACTCCGCTGCAGAAGGAAACCATGTCAACGCCTTTTGATGAACTTAGTGACACCGTTCGAAATACGCTTGAGAAGTTGAAGAAGTCAGAATTTCATGATCTTGCCCAAGGGCTCTTGGCAGGGGAGGATCAATGGGATGAGTTGGTCCAAGCACGTGTGAATGAGATAGTATCACGTTCCGGGAAACCTAGTTTCTCGCGATCAGTGGTGACGCAAATTTTCCCATGTGTCATATCTTCACTTTTTATGATTCGACTCAATTGGACGGTGATGGAGCAGCCGGCCATGGATCTTTCAGGAACAATTTCTTCCGGGCCTGCCAGCAAGATAAGGCGAGATATTGAGTATTGGGTGGGAAATATTCCGGGTCGGTTGGTTGAATTGCGATCCTTCCCCGACTTTTTCAAGCTTCAAAATCCCTTCCAATCCGATAACCTGCCAAATCCCACCCCGCAAGAGCTGATTCGTTTCGCTTTGCAACTGGATGTCACTACTGCGCAATACCGATTATTCAGCAATATTTATTTTTGCGCTGCTGCCGTGAATGGGATGAGGGAGTCGGGCATGTTGAAGTTTTTCGTGAGTATCCCGAAACCTCTTGCATGCCCAATGACTAACGAACGTTATAGCGAAATCATTATTTCCTCGCTAACCAACGGTATTTTTTTCATTTCTCTTTCTGAGGGTCCGTACTAACGATTTCTATAGTTCTTCTCACGTTGCTCCGCTCGTTATGGCGGTTTTGGTCTCCCCGCTCGTGTTGCTTCTTGACACGGGTCTCACGAAACCGACCACGCTCCCTACCATCAACACGTTGTTGACTTATGCTGTGTTGGATGGAGGATTCTCTCGAACCACCGATCCGGAGAAGGTGTTGGAAAATGCCATACTTCGCCTTATCATATCCGTTTCTCGATCGGGACGGGTCGAACAAGCTGACCTTGACGAGTTCCATGCTGCATGGACATTGGTTTCGCCGTGCATACCCGAGACGATAAATCGCTCCCCTAGCCCATATGAGGAGGACTCGGTTCGCCATACTCCACGTCCCCCAGTAACGCCCCCGCGACACCGCCTCCACGTGCCCACACCCCCGTACACGCCACACACCCCCCCGCACATACGTAAAGGAGCAACCTCTGGCTCTTCAAGTAGCAGAGCCGAGGTGCCGTCTGATGGCCAGGGCGGGAGGAGCCTCGAGCCACACACCCAGGGAGTTGGCAGTCAAGGAGGGATGACTCTCAGATCACACATGGAGCAAACTCAAAGCAAAATCGAGGGTAGCAAAGGACAGGTGGGCCTTGGGCCACGCCGGCAGGGAACTTCTCGTGCCGGTCAAAAGCGTAGGCGGGGGGGAGATGAAAGTGGCCTGCAACCACAGAAAAAGACTCGTGTGTCCTCTCGAAAGGCTGGTACGGCCAAGGACCGAACGATAGCGTTCTCCATCTCTGAGGAGGAGATCGAGTCTTGGCCAGAATTGAACACTTTGGACATGTCTCAAGTCCCTCTCAAGAGGACCTCACCGGGTCCGACGAAAAATCCCAAGGTAAGCTTTCTGTGGGCTTTGGGCGGTGAAAGCTGACAGGCCTGGGCAGGATATATATCGTGTAGAATTCCGTGTTGCGTCTCTTATGCGCAAAAATAGAACACCTCACAAGGAAACGTTTGTGTTTCCGTACCATAAAAACTCGGTGAGTCGTTCGTTGCCTTCTCAGGGTTGGGTTTTCATAGCATTGCAGGCATCTATCTGTGCCTTCACTGGTTATGTAGAATCAACCCAGTACGACCTCGACAACTCTATGCTCACCGTGCTAGATGCGTCACAGGCTTACGATATGTCACCCGAAGAATTTCAGGCAATGGTCGATGCTGGTGACCCTATCATCTTGACGGGACAGCAGCAGTCAGTCGAGTTCGACGTTCCAACCCTTTTCAACCTCATCGACTTTCGGTCCAGTATGCTCTGTATAGGTGAGTTTGCTTGCTCTTTCCATTGGTTTCGTTGACGTGTCTTCCAGATTCCGATGCAGTGGACGAACTGTTCGAGATTTCCGCGCGGGAAGCTGCATACGAGATGTGTCATTGGCCAACATCTAGGCCGCTCATCGTCGAGCATGCCCCAACAGCTGCGAGCCTATATCAACCGGTGGAGAGGTGAGGTTTTTTTTTTTTTTTTTTTTTTTTGCTTTGATGCGTAAGCTCATGGGTTAAAGGCTCCTTAACACTCATGGCGTGGCCCTGGCGGACTTTGCATTGGATGATCATCATGTCCGAGACTGGCGAGGCCCAATGATCTCCGCCGTTGGATCCGTGCATCCACCCCATCAAAACCCGAACGGCCTTGGGATCAGCCTCTATTGCGCTAGTGGCCATGTGGTTTTTTTCATCCCGATTCTCGAAGAAAGTCAAAAGCTGATCGTGAATTTCGGTGATGTGGACGTGCAGACCCCATTGGGGTTCGAGTACTTGTACCAGGCCCCACACCGGTACGGTTCATTCGTGCTTTCCGCAGGTCAAACAGTGTGAGTGAATTTTTTCTCCTTTGGGTTGGGTTTCTAATTGTATTCTTAGCGTATTTCCGCCTGGGCAAATATATGCCTATGCGACGATTTCAAAGGAGGGATCGACGAGCCATGGATGTATCATGCATGGGTCGTACTTCCTCGCTGCGGGGTGCATGAGAAGATCTCTTATGGCGAGTTGGTTGGATCGAAGTTCCAATGACGAATCTACGATCGGGGACTCATCGGTGACGACGTCCTTGATTGCGATGGTGTTGAAGGCGGTAGACGCCCTGTCTACCCCTGACAAAGAAATTGTCCATTCCCCCGATACCGCGAACCTCTTTTCATTAGCATCGATGGCGATGATGTTCCTCGGAACTCATGGGCCAGATATGATGAAAATAGCCAAAGCTCTGAGTCGCCATTGTACCGAAGAGGGCGTGCGCCGATGTTATCGTTGAACTCGAAGACCTTCGGATCGCGAATCATGCGTACAAAGAGGATTGCCTTACTTCCCGCGAGCGTGAAGAATACGATATAATGGCAACTTTCTTCCGTCGCAGTATGATGACTGCGGTTAAGAACATGTTTTCTTCCGAAGAGTAATGTGCTTGTATTCTTTGTAGTTTAACGCATGTACTCGAATAACATTTTTGCATGGGTGAATTATTATCTTTGCCACATGGGTCAAAGAATGAATCCTGGGATGTGACATTTCAGCTAGGCATGTTCGATTTATCAGCCATCCTCGCATTTTTTTCACTACCGATTATATCTTTTTACATGTATGAGCTCAAAAAAATTGAAATAAAAAGATGACGAAACGAGATATACCCTTGGGGCACACGTTCGTTTGATTTTTCCGTAATTTTCAGGAAAATTTCATACGATGCATATGCATCGATCGCAGCATCTGAGATATTGTCAACGATTGTATTATGAGGAATCACAAACTTACACTCTAGTTGTTCGTCTGAGAGGTGCCGCGTCCACCAGCCCCCGTGCCACTTGGGTTCGTGCTTTTTAATCCGCTGCCTTAAATACAATGTGGCTAGCTTTCGTATCCCTGGTTGTTGGTTGAGGCCCTTCGTCCTCTTCCAATGATGAGGATGCAGTTGGACTGCAAGCTCGCCAATATCTTTTGTGTTTGCCATGGAGAATCCCCAGACCTCTTCTGCCGTTTTCATGTCGGCTGTAGTGCACGTTTAATGTGGTCCGCCCGATTCGCAAATTTGCTTACATCGGATGCCAACTCCATATTTTGTGACATGTCCCGCAGTGAGTATCTGCTTTATTTTTGTTGGGCCTTGGGATGCGTATTAGAATCAAATATGGTTTGAAGGTGAGAACTCACATGCACTAGTCTCTAGTTGGTATACTATCACGCCCGATGAGTGGGCAAATTGGATCGTACTTATTCGGTTGAGGGTTTGGCCCATCATTCGTCGATAGAGAATGGTGAATCGGCCAGTCACCTTGGACCATTCCATGTCCACAAATATTTCCCTTTTTGTTCGTCAGGACCGGGACTTTACGTTGCATGGGTTTCTCACCTCGCATTCCCAAACCGCTTGTCGTATTCCTTTTCGAATTGCTGTACGCCCGTGCAATAAGCGATTGGTACGGGGAGCTCGTATGGGGGCATTGATGCCTCTAAATGCTCAAAGTCTCGCGTCAGTTCCTTTGACGCCTCAGTCCGTGTTTTTTGGATCTCTTGCTTCCTGGCTGCTATCATTGTTTGAACCATGTTCGCACGCTCCCAGTGCTCATAAGCCCTCTCCCCAGGCAGCTCTCGCAAACATTCATCTAGGGATGTTTGAAATCGTTGTAAAGCCATTTTGTATGGACGAAGAAGTGAAAAATTTCAGGTAGGGTTCACGATGGATAAGGATGAGGAGAAACCAAAAAAGGAAATAGTCCCAAAACTGTCGTGTATTATTAGCGTTTGATAACATCCTTCTGGTACATTATTATGACTAGTATGACAGATCTTTTCAGTCACGACCTGTACATTGCCCGAGCATTTTGATCCTAACTGCCCTCGTGGAGCATGGCCACGCAATGGAGGCCGTAATTACACGGTTAGGGACGGGAGGTCATGACGAGGGGTTCTAGGGTGCGGAGCATCGTGCACGACAAGAAGCCAGCACATGCGGGGACATGGAGATATCGGAAGCAGACATCGGTAAATGAGTCATGTGACTCATTTGCGCCAAGCTTGGGAGGTTCCGAGTTAGTTTTTATTATATAAAAACGCCAAAAACCTTATCAACATTACAACCTTATCAATGTTGCGCGACACATCAAATAACTATTCAGCCGCCGCCGCCGGAGAAGTGATGTGTATTGACCCCATGGCAACCTTAATTCACCCGCCCACCCCTCGCCGCATGCCATCCACACCCCTAGATCTGACATCGGTTGGGTCGGATGATGACAGTGACTACGAGCGTGGTCCGACAGCCGATCTCCACGGGGGTGAACATAGCCGCCAAAATGAAACGCGGCATCGCGAAGCAAGGAGGCCGCGATTAGTGCTCACTGTCGAGATACCGATACTTCCTCGTCCTTTCAAAAACTCTATAGAAGGAGGGGGCGATAGGCTATTGCCGCTGCACCCTCGGGATTTTCCGGGCTTGAAAAAAAGAGAAAAATCACACCTTTCTAACGGTACCAATCATTTGAAATTTGGTTCCGCCGTTGAAAAGTTATAAGCGTGGACATTTCTGCACCCTGCACCCTTGACCTGAAGCCTCGATGTTTTCTCAGTCAGTTTTGAGAATTATGGGCGGCAATAGGCATTCCAGATAGCTGTGGGCGAGATCTACAAGATGAAAAAAAGAGGATGTGAATAGCTGCTCTGGGTAAGGAGATATGGGAAAAATAAAATTTGAAGGAAAAAAATAATAAGTAAATTGATAAGTGGAGGAAGAAAATAGGAAAAAATGCGGGGTTTTTTGGAGTGGAATATGGTGAGGAGATAGAATGGGGAGATATTTTATTCGGAATTTTTTGGGGAAGTTTTTTTTTGAGGGTGCACTCGGGTGCAGAGGGTGCAACTGAGGGTGCAAGTGAAATAAAAAGTGAAATATCTGAGCGGAAAAAATAGATATAAATATGGGGTGTTTTTCAGAGTGATATATTTAGGAGAGAGAATGGAATAAGATTTTTTGAGATTTTTTTTTGGAAAATAACTTTCGAGGGTGCAGGAGGGTGCAGTGAGGGTGCAAGTTGAATAATTAAAAGTGGAATAACTTTTGACTGGATGGATGAAAATTGAAATGGTTGATAGGGTTAGGAAGGTGTGATTTTAGTGAAAATTATGAAAGGAAAAAAAGAGAAGTGGCTGTGCAGTTTTTGCACAGCCACAAGAGAAATTTTTTGATAGGAAGAAAGTGGAAGGTGAGAGAGGAGGGAGAACAGGTTAGAACTGAAGTTGAGAAGGACTTGAGAAGACAACAAGACAACAAGACAACAATGCAACAATGCGACAACACGACAACTAGACAAGGCAAGAAGTGAAAACTAAAAAAAGTTCGAAGTGAAGTTTGAAGTCTGAGTTGAGAAGCTAAGAAGGTGAACTAGACAACTAGACAAGGCACCAAGGCAACAACACGACAAGGTGAGAAGACAACAACTAGACAAGGTAAGGAGCAAAAATGCGGAACTGTGGAAGTAAAAAAAGTGGAGACTTGAGTTTGAAGTCTCACTTGAGTGGAAGAAGGGGACAAGAAGGTGAGAAGACAACAAAGTGACAAGAGGTTGGGTTGGGTTGGGTTGCAAAAGACAAATCGCGTGTTTTCGAAATCGAGTGTTTTAGAGAAGTTAATGAGGAAAAGGACAGAGCAAAAGGGAGGACCTTATCCCACAAGAGATACAGGTGCTTTCGTCTGAGACTCATCAGCTTTTTGCCCTTAAGGTATTTATACTTTATGGGGAGGTCTGTGCACAAAAACAGTGGGATGTTTCGTTAGAAACATCCCAACATGCTTAAATAATCATTGGAAATGCTTAATAAGCATGCACCAGGGCTAATCCGAAAATAGAAGTAATATATAGTTTATGTATATAAATGTTTATATTATAACCCGATATAGTAGCAACTGTTTGGTTGAGTTGGGTGGTTGTATTGGGTGGTTGGGGGTTTGGTTAGTTGGGTGGGGTGGGTTGTTTGGGTTTTGATCCCCCAAGGCCTACAACTTTATACCACCCCAAACCCTTTTCAGATTAGCATCCCCATGTATCCATGTCTTCAGGTAGGTCATTATGTACCTCTGAATGTGATGCTAGGACACTTTTTCTCCAGGAGTTGGTAAGGTCTCTTAAATTAGAGACTCTTTTCCTACTCACTAGGAGATCACAATCTAGGAAATCAGATTTGTGCAAGTCAAAAAGAAGCCTTCGCTTCCAACCCAGGACAGGAGCTTTCTCTTCCTCCACGACCCAGGAGAGTGGTCCTTCAACGTCCTGAAATCTTTTGACAGAAGGACTTGGAGGATCAGTACATCTGATAACAGACTTTGGCTTGGGAACATACTTATCCTCCTCCTGAGGCAGCCTGTCACCCCATACCTTAGCCTTGTACTCATCTGTCCTTAGCCTCTTGGTCGCCTCTGAGTCAATTGACCAGTACGAAGCAGTACCATCTACCTTTTGGTAGTGGGCCCAGACAACTCTCTTGCCTTGGATCTTGTCTGGCAGGTCAGGCTCTGTTCTCTCCAGAGTCAACCACTTCCAGCCATGTCCAACATTTGCACAATCTGGGGTGTTACACCATGTTACCTTGTCATAGTGTGTTGCCCAGGTTTTCCTGATTTTGTCCCACATCTCATGGACATTGAAATCTTCCCATGCTGGGTTAAAATAGGATTTAAGCACCATAATTCCTCTAGAGCCATCTTCAGGATCACTAAGCCTGTTTTGCCATCTTATGGAGGTGTTGTCTCTTATCCAATTTTGCACCAATTCAACTGGGTAGCCTCTTGCAATGTATAGCTTAGCTAGGTCTACACATGCATCTAAGTAATGTTGACAACGACTACTTAGTGTGGCCAGTCTAGACATCTCACCCAGAAAAGTGCCTCTTTTCACATCAACTGGATGGTGGGATGCCCATGGGATTCTTTCATAGTGGTTCAGTGCCTTGCGATATGGCATATGTTCGATAGTTTTTGTTACAGGATCGATATATACCAGTAGATCCAGGAATGGGGTACTCCATTCTTTCACTGACCACAGAATTTCACAGTTATCAAATTTAATTTGATTAGCATAGTCCAAAGCTTCCTCTGCATTTGAGGCGATTACTATGCCAAGACAATCATCGATAAACCTTCCATAATATAGATAGTTATCTCGATCTTCTTCATCGAAGAATTTCTCCTCAAAATGAGCACCATATAGGTTGGCAATGTCTGGTGAACATGCCACACCCATAGCTAGGCCTCTCAATTGGAGATATGTCTGTTCTTGAAATTCAAAGAGGAGGTTACCATTAGCAACTTGCATAGCTCTAATAAATAGATCTTTCTCTGCTTGTTGCAAGTCTTTTCCAATATCCTTGAGCCACCATTTTAATGCGATTGCAATGGCTTCTCTACATGGTATATTGGGATAAAAGGCAACTACGTCACCAGATATCAAAAAAACTTTCCTTCCAGGG